TTCTCTCTGACAGAGGAGGGGACAGCAACGCTTTCATGTCACCTTTTTTGAGTGTAGAGTGAGCGATGAGGTGATTCAAGTTGAGTCATACAGTTCAGAAGGACAAAACAAAAACACTGTGATGTGACGTGGTGCTGTATGTGTGCATGTTTGCACTTCAGTCTTGCGTCGCTGGTTACCGTTGGAAATAAATCCTTGTAAACAAAACTTCTCAACAAATTCATCACTGCGGTACACACATCCACATACATTTAATAAATGTATTCCTTAATGATAAACGGGTGATATTAATAAGGCTTACACAGTCTGCATTTTTGCCAGCTGGCTCAAGAGAGCTTAAAGTGCACACAGCATGTTTGATACTGCACTACTGTACAGTGCTCCTCCACTCACACGGCTCAGGAGCTGAACTGGCTGCACTCCATTGCTTTCAGACTGTATTATGTGCCTAATCAGTTTTTTCTAATATCATAGTTTGATTTTCCTTGTTAAGAATCAGTCACTCTGCTCTCTGTAAACCTTTCACATTACTGACTGGTCAGATGCCTCCATTTCCGCCTCTTCCAGGGAACCACCCTTGCAGCTAGATTGGGAAGCTGTGGACTAACTTATTGAAATTATAACCACCTTTGTGTGACTGATTAGGCTGATTGCTGATGTCTGGGTAAGAGAAGAGAGAGGGGAAAGATATCCTGAGTATGTTGTACCTGCTTTGAAGCACAGCCCCAAGAAGCATTCACAATGGTAATTATGACTAATCTCACAATTAAGAGATCTTCTCCAAAAGGTTAAGTAGGTTGTTAATCAGAGATAAACTACCTGGTGTAACTTATGCTATTTTATTAATAATAACTTTTAATATTGTCTCATGCCCATGAATTCAGTGCTATTCCATTTTTAAAATTAGCAGTTCAGGCTTATAAAGCAGTGCTGCTGTGAATTGGAGCTGGAAAAATTATCACGGTTCAAGTGCAAGTTCCCAGACAAGGTGTAGAATCAACTGATCTCCGGCAGGGATTGACAGCGGTGGAGGATTTCACTTTCCTCTCTTAACTTCCTGTCAAAGCAGCTGAGCAGCAGTTGCCAGCTACAGCATCCTGCTCAGCGTGACTCACTGTTTGCATGTGGAGCACCTTTAACAACAACCTACAACTGAGACAGCTCACAAGACCTGACGTGAAATCATAATAATGTCTGCCTGAATGCTGATGACCTACCTCTTCTTTTATTAAACTGTAGCGGCGTGCTTGTAGCCCTCAGGGTCAGATCCATTTATATCTTACCATAAATTCCATTCATCGCCTTATCAGAAATATCCCTGCCACTGTGTGTGAATGCAGCATTGCACTGGCATGCAGCGGAGGATTTAAAAAGCCCACGTGGCATGAAAGGTTTTGTTTTGCCAGCAGGACATTGCCTAAAAGTTTCAGGTAAGTGTGTTGTTGTTTCTCATCTTCACTGCTGCACTTAACAAAAGTGTCTGCTTAGCTCTGTGTGGCTGGACTAAGCTGCTATATTTTGGTAACAGGAACCATATAAGACTGACAGGAGCGGTGGAGCTTGAGATTACAGGCTTGAATAGGAAAATATACAACAGCATGAAACAAACAAAACAAAAAGACAGTGGGATGGGAATGGTAAGACAATGGAAAACACTTGGCTTAGGAACAAGGGATGAGAAAACATGGAAACCTCTCAAAACATCCATAGAAAGCTAAAAAAAATAAAAAATAAAAAAAAAAGACGGGAGAGAAAATAAAAGGGGGGCCGAGGAAAACAAGCGCTACACTCATCTTTAGGGCTGTGCTGCTGCCTAAATAAACTGCTACCAGGATTTTGGAGGCTCAGTTCTTGTGTAAAAATAGATTTCCAACCCAGATATGAAGATAATGTGTGATAATACTGACTTTAACCCCTTAACACCTAGTGCTTTATATTAGATACATGAGTTTTTGTAAGCGTTTGAGGCTTCTATCGTCAGTTTAAATGTTTCCCCTGACAATTCTAAATAAATTGTAAAATAAATGTCAAATTAATATTATGTTTTTGTCAAAAGGTCCAATAAACTCTCTCACTTCAAAATGTATAATTTTCTGGGAATAGTTTTGGCTTTAAAGGGTTAAACCATTTAAGGCACTGAAAGGGGTTTTCATACTGTTCCCCTGTTATCTCCTATTCTGCAGCTGAATATATTAAATTGAGCACATCACAATGTGCAACTGATGGCACTTATTCTCCAGCAGCATCATTTGCGAGAGACAGAAAAGCAACAAGACGCCTTGACTTTAAATCAGCAAAAGCCACGATGGAAACATTTGTTTGTTCTTGAAAATTATTCCTTTACCTACATTACTCTGATGTTTTAGAATTTAAAAAAATCATGTATTTATTAAACTTTCAGTGGAGCTTAACACATTTTTGCTTAAATAACAGTCAATTTTTATTTTTTATTTTTTACTTTTTCTTCATTAAGGAGTTAATATGAGTGAATCTTTGACAGGTCCTTCAGGCATTTGCTGGCAAGCCTGTAAACGTCTGACATGTTTGCTGCAGGACCTTTAGCAGATGTGGCCGATGATGGTGTCAGAAACAATGAGGAGTGAGACCTCAAGTGAAGAACTTGCCATAAGCAGAATTAACAATGGGCTGGCTGCCTGACGACGATTATGATGATGATGATGATTTGCACTGGATCACACTTCTCTGGACTTCAGAAAACCATTGAGAGCTTCTTTGAAATGGAGAAACCAAAAATATACAGCTAATGATAAGTTCTTGATGTTTTACTGGCTATTTTTTTTAACGTGTAGTTGTGTAAGCTAGTTAGTCACTGTATAATATGAGCAGTACTGTGTGTGGAGGTCAAAGTGGCTCGCTAGCACCAGTTGAATATTTAATAGCAGCTAACATGCTAACTGCTGTGTTTTCTCCGCTTACCAAAAGAATATCTTTTAATGATTATTTTAATCACTTTTACATCTTTTAAAGGGCTCTGACATGTGATATTTTAACAGTTAGATGAGCTGTTGCTGTTGTGTATTTGTCAGGCTACATGATGATCAGCTAGTGTAGCTCTAGAAAAAACTTGTAGGGACCTTTTGTGTGACTCGAGGCTTCAATGCTACTTTTACCTGGAAACACCGATTCAATTATTTATCAAGTATTTCCATTTTTTAAGTTCACAGGCATCCTGTTTGTAAGGATACAGTCTCTTCAAGTCGGAAAATATTGCTCATTCAAATCAATCATTTATAGTGTTTTTCTCACACACAGACACATCCGGGATGTAGCGAGAAAACCAATCACTGTTGTAGGCTATGACCACAATTTTACATTTTTACATTTTTAAAATGTATGTATTACATTTTCCTCTTTCACTATCCTTCCTGAATACTGCTTATTTAACAGTTTTAGTTTTTTAAAGAGTACCACTAAATAGATAAAGTTTGTGAAGTGCCTTTTTTAACCAGTCCCTCCCTGCCTATATAAAACATTTGTTTTTAAATGCTGCAATCCATTTAACAAGTTAACATCATACGGGTGTTAACAAAGGGTGTTTTCATATATTATTCAATTGAATTTCAATGTATTTTGCACAGTGCAAGCTGTGGAAAATTTTATTTGGATTTCTTTTAAATTACCCAAAGTCACACACTACTAAAAAAAATTTATTTCCTGTAAAAACTTTAGTTTGTACCCCTTAAAACACAATGAAAGCCCATTTAATTCTAGGAGAATTACACTTTTGTGTAATTAAAAAATAATCTGTATTAATTTGTGTAACACAATTATAGAGGCTGTGCTTTTGTACACAGAAACAAAGGAAGCCTGTATTTTAATTTGCCCATTTGACATGTCGGTGCAAATTGACAATATTCCAATGTGAGCAAAAACATCAAGTCATGGGACTTATAAACATATACAGACAAAGGACAAAAGGTGTTAATTGACTGTTTAGGATAATAAACACACTGTTCAGTAGTCAAAACCGCAAAACAAGGCAAAAAATTTTTTTGACTTTCTAAGCATATTTTCAGAAAAGCAAATTGTTTGTCTTTGCATCCACAACTGAGCTTATTTGTAACAAAAAAGAAGTTTTTCTACCATATTTATAGCACCTCCCCTTTCAACTGAGCCTCTGTGTTCTATGGCCCTGTCTCTATTTCACCAATATTTGCTTTATTGCTAGAGCTGATCATGATTAACAAATGATTTTAGATAACCCTTTTGAATATTAATCTGTTTGTGGGTCACATTTTATTCTGTGTTTTTTAGTGTTTGTGTTGGAGCTACAGTGTGTGATTGTTTTTGTAAAGACAAATTCAGTCACTCTTACTCACCCCATCCAATCAGGATATACCACCAGAAGTATTTCCTCTGTGAGACGAAGGTCAGAGCCAGCAGCGTCTGCAGATACATGCCCTCCACCAGCAGCCAGAAGTAATTGGCCAGGATGCTGAACTGGAAGAAAGCCACGGCTGACTTGCACGCTTTCTATAGAGAGGAAACAACAAAACAAAGTTAGAAAAACTGGATGTGTCATCATTTAACATAATAATACATCTTTTTGTGTAATAAAAGGGAAGGTAGTGACAAAAAAATATTTGATTCTTCTTCTACTTTTGCTATAACTTCAACTGAAGTCAATCAAGTACAAAGAAATACAAAATAAGCACCAAGGAACTCAAACCAATTTAAAAAAAGACAAAAATAAAATACCTAAATAGTCACAAAATCACAATTTGAGAAGACTTGCAAAAGAAATTAAAATTTATAAAACAATTAAAAAAAGGAACACAAAATTAGCAAAATCTAGAGATATAAACCAACAGGAAGATGTGCAGTACATAACCACAAAAACACACAAAAGTGTAAAACCAGCACCAAACAATAAGTGAACAAAGATAAACAAAAAAAACCCCACAAAGATACACAAGAGAATAAAAACCAAAGATGACAAAAAAGCAATAAAAAGCATGGACACCGAGACCAAAACATGTAATAAGGAACAAACACAAAGGCTGTTTTTTAAAATCAATTCATGAAAAAAGAAACAAACCTTTTCTCCAAATCCAACACACACATGTGCAAAAAAAGCATATTCAGTACATTCTATATAAGGAGATCCTGATACAAAATATATACAGGACGGAAGTGTCTGTATTCCTGTTCACTCTATAACCTTCTGACTTCCCGCACATGAATGAATCATGCCACCTGCAGAAGTCGTCTAATGACACTGCAGTGGTTGGGTGTATTAGGGACAGGGCTGGAGTGGGAGGTGATGAAGAGCTATGTGTAGTACTTTGGCAGAAAACCACCTCCTTCTGAAAGTCAGCCACTCAAAAGAGATAGTGGTTGATTTCCGGTGACTAAGCCAATTAGCATGATGGGTGACTGAAGCAGTGGACGGCTACAGGTACTAGGGTGTTCACATGAATGACAGATTGGATTCTATTTTTTGAGGAACCTCAGTTCCTCCAGTGTTTGAGGCAAAACGGCAAGACCAATTTTTAGCAGCAAGTGCTGCTGTCTGCTTGGAGGGGTGGCATCTGTGCCAGAGATGCCAGCAGGAACAACAAATTCATCAGTGGCCAGAATCTGGAGGCGTTTGAGTCACAGAGGGACAGGAGGGCATTGACAAACTATTGTCCATCATGGACACACCCACTCCATTTCACACTACAGAGCCAACAGAGTTCGTTCTCCCTCAGACCCCACTAACATAAAGACCACTTCAGGAAATCATTCCTACGGTTATACCTTCATCTATCTATCTATCTATCTATCTATCTATCTACTGTAGATTTAAACCTATATTTTCTCATTTTTCCAATATAAAAAAAAATCTTAAATTGTTGCTAAAAGATTTCATCAGTCTAATGAGAGTATTTCCCTCTCATCGTTTTGCCACGTGTCTTCCCCTCCTCGTTCTCTGTTTCCACTGTTAACTCAATCACACAGCATGTGGGAATCTATTTTGATGCAAACATCAATTAGAGCCCTCACCGTGGACATGGAGCAGTGGTCCAGGGTCTCATCAGCAAACAGCACAGTGTCTTTAATGAAGACGGCACTGGCTCTCAGGATGAAGGAGGCGAACAGGTTGATGTGGATGTAGTTTCTGGTGCAGCGGAACTTCCTGCGTAACAATAGCGTAAAGCATACACTGCATGTAAATTAATATTTCATAAGGCGGAAGAAGAAGGTAAACAACTTCATGAATTTGCATGTGTAAGATGATTCATAATCCTCTGTACTACAAAGGCTCTTTGAGGCTTTATCATCTGAATATATGCATATTTTCCTAAAATTATAAGATGCTGTCCTAACCACACAAATCCTGAATGTGTCTGCATCATAGAAATTTCCCCTTTTATTGGCCTTTTGTGGGTGCAGATGGTGGTGTGTGCCGCTCTGGTCTAACCTGAAGGCTGCAAACACCACGATGGCTGTAATGAGGGAGATGAGTGACGTGGCGTAGCCTACGGTGTAAACCTGTCTGAAGGTATAAAGGTAACTCGTCTGGAGACAGGAAAACAGAGAAACCGTTAGTTTAGAAAAATATCAAAATAAAAGTCTGAAGCTGTGAGTCTGACTCAAATCACTGCAACTTCAAGGGTTCTTTCTTTATAAGATTCATGAATGAATAATAATTTGTTTAAGCTTTAGATAGAAAAAGCAGTAATTATGCTGAAACACTGAAAAAGATGTACTTTTAACTGTGTGGTTATTTAAATATATAAACAATTTCAGGACCTGTAATTTCCCTTGAGTTGTTTACATTTATTCCTGGAACAAAGGTCCTCACAGCTAACTACAAATAGGTCTGACATAAAAAGGAAACAGCGATAGAGGAAGCAGAAACAATATGTTCATCCTTCATTGACTGGCATGATTACAACCACATGTCCGTATACCTCGGACTCAGGCTCGCTGTCATCGCTGAACGCGCAGGCCTCCTCATAGGGTGGATACATTTCCGACCAACCGTCAGCAGTACAGTTCCTGTAAACATACCCTAATGTGGGGAATCCAAAGAGAGAACGCAAGGAGACAGTTAATTTCAAGTGTTTCAATCGCACAAATATATGAATGTTGTTCTTTTATTATTTTTTGTGCCCTTCCTGACACAACCCCAAAAGGATTGGTGTTTCCTTCCAGGAATAAACCGGAGGTCTTTTTGTTTGCAAGGGGAATGTGCAAACCACTTGGAGCCACTTTTTCTGTCTCAAGAATGAAAGCGGCAATTTCAGTTCAGTTTATGGGTCGCATAACCACTGCATGGGAACCTGTAAATAACACCTTCAAATTGTTTCTTTCTTATAAAGACATATAACTACCTGCTGAAAATGTTCACATGTAATGCACCATGCATTTGCAAAACATGGTGATGAACACCCTGAGATCTCAACAATGTTCAGTCAGTCTCCTGACCAGACCTGACCATGAGCTTTCAACACGATGCTTGGGTGAAACTGCTAAATGCCCTCTTTCTCTATAATTTTGGCACTTTTCAAATCCCTCCAGTGGGACAGTCTGATGGGCTAGTTCTGACCTACAGGCTGTTTGTTTGACAGCCTGGGTTTAGAAACTCAGTGAACCTTTTTGTTACACCAAGTGTCCTTTTCTGTCTTGGTTTTTAGTCTTTTCATACATTTTACAACACAACTGACTGACAATACGAGCTATTTTAAATCTACCTGAATTAAAATGTGTTATTCGCATCCCTTTTTGTTGTGAAATGCTGTTGAAATTACACTCTGGCTCCTTTGGTCGAGTTTAACTTTTAGGATTTTTGAAAAGTGAAGAAAAAGGTGTTGTATGAAACCTACTGAAACCTACTGAAACTCTGCAGGTATATTTTCCTTTTTAACTTCAGGGCTAACAACTGCTACACCATTATCATCTTTTAATTTCTTTTTCTCCATTATATTTGAAGCAAATCCTCTACTCAGTCTATTGAAGCCCACTTTGGTCTCTTCCAACCTCTTTTGGAAATATCTGGTCCTTTATTGTCTAAAGTCTCCACTGTGCTTTCTTCTGACAATATATCTGTTGTTCAGCACAAAGCAGCAGTTTACAGTGATTTTTGACTAATGACACCAAAAGCAACACTGTGAGATGGAACAGAAGTTGCTGGCTGGACAGTTAAACAATATGCAGAACCTCATCCATAATCTCAGGGCAGCCTATTTTCACACTGCAGCAGTTTTTTCACAAAAACATATCGAAGAGACGTACTTTAAGTAAATGATATGCTTCCCGGCAGCTGTGTAAAGGGGGAAAAAAT